GAAAGTTGCCCTGAAACTTTCTATAGATGTTATAAAGTGAATTAGTTCTACAGCATTATACAGTGTGTCACGGATGGATTTAACTATACTTGAAAATATTTATTTAAATTAAAAAAGTAATTCCTCATAATTTCTTTTACTTGGTAAATAAATTCGATTCACATTAAGAAATTATGAAAAATAACTTATTTAATTTAAAATAAATATTTTTTCAAGTATAATTAAGTCCATCCAGGTACACACTATATTGTTCTTTGTGTAATGTAATACAGAGAGACTGAAATTGAGGTATAGTAAAAACTCAATCGAGACATCGAAATTTCAAATGAAACAAAATATTTATATAAATTTATTATTAAAATGTTCATGAAATCAAGTAGTAATATCACAAAAGTAGAGGTGTAGGTATATCACAAACGCAGTTAGACATGTGCGATAATAGAAGCCACCTGTAAAGCACTGAAAGATTGGACAAAATTTGCTTAATAGTATAATAAGGTATCAATATTGCAAAGCTTCACTCGAAGCTTAAACAGTGAACGATTGTACAAAATTATATTTATATAAGGTACCTACGTTTCAAGATAACAATTGTATGATGCTAAAAAAACTAGATCTGTAAATAATAGATGATTGCAACAATGACTAGGTATACGAGATAGCTGAGTCCCCAGATTGCTTACCTGTACTCAAAGAGATATATCATCTATTTAAAATCAAACCTTTTAACTTTTTTTGTATAGATATTTGTATATTTTTATTTTGTCAGTTTATTATTTATGCAAAGGTAAACAAAAATTATTTTATTCTAGCTACATGTAGCTTGAAAATATTTTTATTTATGCTATAATGAAACATAAATATATGACAATTTATTAGAAGAGGATAAATTATATTTTTATATAATATGATTTTACTTTTCCACAACATATTAAATAAAAAAGAGATTCACCTACTTGTTTAACTATTATTGAAGGAAATTATATAGAAATTAAAAAAATATGCTCAAGTTTAAATCGTTGCACTTATTTTTAGATTATTTTGTCTTACTTTGTTGTTTTAAATAAAACCTCCAATTTTAGTGTATTGAATTTTTTTTTAATTTTACAAATTTTATGCTTAATTATGGATTTCCAAGTTAGTATGATGATTTTATAAAAAAAAACAACTCATATTCTCATGTATGCTCGATGGCATCGTCTGTGATTTTTCTCCAATTTTCTTTTAGTTTTGCACTTGCTTGAATCTGATGTTTTTTTTTTTCAATTTAGACGTACCATGTAACTAGCTGTAGATTCACTTTTTATAAAATTTCAAGTGTTATATATTCCTCTTTAGACAAGTCTGTAGTATTTATTTTGCCACAAATTCCTAGAATGTCTTCAGGTACAAAGAAAATCTAAAATAAATACAATATTTTTTTTTAGTTCGATTAAGTGTATTATTACCCAGAAGTTTGTTACGTCCTTAGTAATAGTTTAGGATAAAAAGATAAGGACATCTTGGTTATACGTACTTATTTATCGAATACGATATATTACAATATTAATTACAGTTTTCAGGTACATTTGCATAGCTAAGGTCTAAAAATTATAAACAATAATTATAATACTATCAATTAGGAATATAAAACTTACACATAGATTTAGTCACAAACTTTAATTCGTCCTCTTCGTCTCTAGGTAGTACTTAATAACTTCAGTTGTAATCCTAAAACCAATACAAAATATAAATCGATTTAAAATACATTAAGAGGAGTAAAATGTTGTTCCAACAAAATGTCATTAAAAATATAAATGTTTACCCTTTTTAAATATTTAGAGATATGTAATTATTAATTTAGTTCGCCTAGGATAGATTTTCCTTAAAATCTCAATGAGTTATGTTAAAGTCATTCTGTTGACAATTCTCTTCTTTTCCAAATACATTAAATTAATTAAAATTCCATCAAGGTACAACAACCAGGACAATTTAAATACATCTTATCTGGACACAGATTGATCACTGACCACTTTTTATGATACTTTTTTTGTATTCTCATATCTGACCAATTAATGAAAATGGCTTCTTTCTGAACCACCTGGGTTTAAGTTTGCGAATTTACGGATTTAATTAGCCATTAAGTAAACCATCATCTCAATTCTTACAAGGAACGTTTCGTTTAAGTGGAATCACATATTGTGGATTTTAGGCCCCTAACTTCTGTGGTAAGTTCAACCTCTACATGCTTCCCTAAAAATCACATACCAATAGTGTTATTTTATTTTAGGCCTTCATTTATCATTTACTGTAATTATCTACTGAATAATTATTTATCTAATAACTTAGTGGGCCTTTTGTTGGACTGAAATATTACCTACAACACATACGTTAGCGATAAGCATTGGAATCTCAATTTATATAGCTGCGATTCGCTTGCCCCTTGCTAAGGCTTTAGCGCCTCCAGGAGCCATCATAAGTTATTACCGCATTCTGAACGATCACCACTTTGAATTCAGTATGATTTATAACTTCTCGGCCACAAGTAAGGATTATCTTTTTCTATTTCTCCAGATTTGGAAGTAGTGGCTCTTTTCACATAATTTCCAAAATAAATATAAACTATAATGGATAAACTTGAAAAATTAATTATGTAAACTCACCTGTGCACCTTCTAGTACCAAAAGGGGGACCATAAGATAAATTGTATCGTATCATTATTACCATCAAAACATTAGATATACTTTTATTTATTAACTCCTTCGCTCTCCGAATCATTAAATTTTAAGAGCCAGCTAGAGAAAAAGGAATTACTGCCACCACTTACATCCTTGGCAAGTTAGTTTTGTATATCTCTTTCATAAGTATTTATAAGTAAAATGTAACTGGACATTCGGTTAAATGTGAATCTTCTCATTTACATTTATCTACCATTATTTTTTATTGTAGTTAAACCATTGCGTATTAGGGTTGCCACCTTTTTATTTCACAAAACCCAGACCTCTGTGAAATTTCTATAAAAAAATTCCTTAGTTAATAATTTTATAAACCAAGTCCTCTTGTTGAGCTTCTAAAAAAAAGGTCCTCAGTTTATGATTTCATAAACCAAGTTCTTCTGCCGAGCTTCTTAAAAAAAGTTATCCAGATATTCCCGGACATTTTTATAATTTTATAAACCAGGTCCTGTCGAAAACTTCTACAAAAATATTATCCAAATATTCCCGGACATTTTGATTCATCCGGACTGAAATATTAAATTTACAACAGACATTGTAATCTGAAACGAAGAAAATGGTTTAGAAAATAGTTTTCTATTTTATAGAGGATCCTTACCAATTCTACTCAAATGTTTAAACAATAATTATAAAATTCTTCAAATTAAAAAACAATAATCAGAAACATGACATATGACAAGAAAAATTGACAAGTGACAATATAAACGTTCCGAGGCATTTTGTTATGTTCACAGTACTTCTCGTCTATACTTTTTTAGCAAATTACTTTATTACGTTGTGTTAACATAACTGGTAAGTCAAATAGGTAAATAAAGAATACGAGTTTTGCGAGGTTTTGATTTCCCTCAACAACTTCTCATGAACGTTGCATTTACGTTGTATAATAATGTTATTACGTTCCTTTAAAGCAACATCGCTGAAAGGCTTGGAAATGTTATGTGCTAGCTGGGATAGGTCTTTAGCTACTTACTGTTGTTAATGTACTATTAAGGGATTGGGGCAGCACTGTCACCAGCCAAAGGGTCCTGCAGTCCTTAATTAACCTCCACTCACCAGTGGCAAATAAAAATAATAATAAAAAATTAAATTAAAACAACAAAAATTAGTCGAGCGTTTCTTGGCAACTAGTTTTAAACTCTTTTAGTCCTAAGGAAATAGAAACGCCGAGGCTTCTCAAATACTCAGAATATTTTACTGGTTTGGAAAGGGAGGAGAGATTAATAAAAAGTATTAAAACATTAACAAATGTATATTAACAATAAGTACAAAATTTGACTAATACTCTAAAGGAAGAATGAGTACAATTACATTTAGGGAATAAAGCACTCATGTTAATATATCCAAAATTTAAATAAAGAATAATGACACTAGATAAACATTTCATTGAACTATACAGTTTGGACTTATTAACAGTTATAAATAGCACTGCAAAACTTTAACTACATAATAATATAAAAATATGTATAAGATAAATATGATAATCGGGACGAAAATGTAAAATTGGCATTTATATGTAAATCAATTAATTATCAAACTAAACACTTTAAAATTAAATTAAAGATATTTACCCATAATTCACAAATCGCTGCACAAAAACTTTACACATTACTTTGTTTTTGGACTTAAAGAGTCCCAGAAATGAGAGCTTTCGCCCTTGGCGAATGTTCTGGACCTTAGTCCGCACTCGAGAGAGTCCTTTTTTTCTGTCTCCCCTCTATATACATAAAAATTTACGTGATGGTTGTATTTTTAAAAATGTCACGCTTAATGTAGCCATTGATTAGATTAATAATCTGATTGTTTGTTTTATTTTCATACGTGTGTTCCTTTTTAGTTTCTGATTTAAAACATTAAAATACTTTTTTAGAATTTTTGGTAAATTCTTTATATTTTCCAATAATAATGCCAATTATTACTGTCTTGTTTTTCTTGGGGTCTTTTTCGGATATGAGACTTCTCCAATAACTGTATCTTCTTTAATAATGTTATACACTGTCCCATATTTAAAAAGTATTTTCCATTTTAACAAGTATTATTTGCGTATTACATTAAAACTTCTAAAAAACCGTATTTTTACGTACAAAAATAAGTTTTAAAATGCTAATATTTTAATAATGGTCGTAGATAAAAGTAATTTGCCCAAAATGATCTAAGGAAAAATTATATAAAATTTCCTCCTCCCATTATTTAATTATGTACTTACTCAATGTAAAATAATTGTAATGATAACTGTAAATAAAGCAATAGGTAAATTACAAAAATTTAAAAATGACAATAATTTTCCAGGTTCATCTCTACACGAACAAACTCTGAAAGTGGAAAAATTCATTCCACATCCTGACTTTAGAAAACTAGGAGCATACTCTCACGATCTTGCCGTACTTCTGGTGGCCGCTCCAGGATTTAGGTTCAACGAAATTGTCAAACCGGCATGCTTTTCCGATGACTCGCCAACTTCAGGTACATGGTGCGAAGTTTCAGGTTGGGGAGCCGTGGATCCGAATGATATTGAGACCACCTCCCCAATTTTAAAAGTCGCTGCTGTTCCTGTGATATCTTTGGATACTTGCAGGTAAGTTTTCTTTAAATTAAACATTTTACCTAATTGATTATTTGTTGAAAATAAAATTGGATCAATCTAAGAATAAATTTATTAAAAACGTTATTTACTAGAGTAATTATTGATAACCCAGAATTACTTAATATAGATAAATTATATCAAAAAGATTGAAAATGATATTGGTTGACAAACTGTGGACAAAATGAAACTACTTTTTCTTAATGTCTCAATATTTCGCTTTGGTTTAATATAGGTACAATAAACAATTAATAGATAGATCATAGACCAACTGTAAATGAAAGAGAATTTGTGTAGTACTTACAAAGTAAAATTTAAAATAATAAAATACAAAAACTATATAAATACAAGAAAATATTCTTAAAACTTATATAAATATATGTTGGATGATAAAAACACATAAAATTAATAATCATAACACAAAATTTACATATTACACAGTACCTACATGGTTAAAACGTTAAAATCTAAGATTAAAAATTAAATAACATTAAGTCAGCCACGCTATAACAACAGTTTTCGACTGGGAATTTTTTTACAAATGTATGAAAATGCTTTTGACTCATACCTTTAATATTCTGATTAATATGCAAATCTATGAGCTTGTTATACAGCCTAACGTCCAATTTGGTTCACTCTGTTTATCTTAATCTAGAAGTATGGAAAAATAAGTCGCTCCGCTCCCCTAGTATTGCAACGGTGAACATCGGAGTGAGTTGCCATCCCTAAAACGCTCCGATGCAAGCTCAAAACTGTCTCAAATATATACATGCAGGGTATAGGAAGAATTCTATATCTTAAAAACAGTGCGCATGACTCTTTGCACTATCGATGATGCATACAGCAGCCTTCTGAGATGCAAAGACTCCATGCACACTACTAGATTTACCCCATTAAGTAATGCTATTCGCGATTCAAGCTAAGTGATACGCCCTCTATAGGAAATTAGTAGAAGGTCCCTATAATTTGAAAATCGTTCAGTTTTGCCAGATGCAGCAAAATTTCGTTACGTCGTCGGATTTTAGTTCTTGCAGAAATGGATAAGACCTTTTATTTAAAGATCAAAATTTGTGTCTAGTAATATGTAATCATACTCTATATTTATTTAAGGATTTTTTTATAAAATCGATTAATTATATTGACTTTTTTTAAATTTCAGTTCATTTATTAATTTTGTTTTAAAATCAGCCAGAGACAAAATCAGTTCATCATTTGGCAACATTGGCGTTCGTGTTCATTGTTTACATTTTAATTTGTATCAATTACAATTCGAGTTTTTTCTTACTTTTTAGCTTTAAATTTGTTTATTTCTTATAGTATGTGATAGTGTTTAAATTAAAAATGAAATCTGCTAAAAAGCCCCCAGCAAATTGCAATCTATATGGTGTTAATGTCAAAATCAAAACTGAAGTACATATTCATTATTTTCCAAGTGCAAGTCATAAAATTTTGTTTCTTACGATAAATGGGTATCTACAAATTCACAATATTGAAATTTTGCAAAACTTTGTTTAGAATCAAACTGCAATCTGATTTGTGACGGTTTTATTACCATTTACATGTATACAAAGTACTAAACAATTCACTTCATGATATAAGAATAAGGATAGTTAGATTTTTAAAAGTTCATCAATAATAAACGTTTGGTACCTGATATGTCCTTTAAACCACATAATATAACATGTCCTGGGTTTAGTAAATACATATTTCTAGATGTTCTTGTAGCAACCAATAGGTCAATATTTCCAGCAAATTAGTTCATACTACACATGATAAATATTATATTTATACCGAAAGCACGAAAACTAAACTTAAATTAACACTAAATGAAACTCAAAAACACTATTATAACGATAATATTATCTAAAAACAGTTAAAAAAAATCAAAAATACAAAATCCCTCAAACATGTAAATAAACAAACATCCTACTTATAGTTGACAAATGACAGGCGCGCGAAAATTAATTTGCATCGCGAATATGATAAATCTTAGAAATCTGTGACTCAAGTTAGTGAACCTAGTTTTGAATAATTCGAATAAGGTTTCTATTGCGACTACTTACTTGAAATATTTTTGATAAACGTTTGATCCAACAAACACAATCGTTAAAAAAAGAACATTTTTGTTTCTCGTAAACATTTGTCTAGTTCCTAGTTTCTTTTAGGTTAGGTAGAATTAGAAAGCTGATGCAGGAGGCCTCTATGCAAATCACTAGGAAGAGATTACAGTAGTGGTACTGTAATCACTGACTAAAGGATAGCACATCCACCATTTTTTATCCATTATTTTATTTGAACCACAATTGTTTAAAATTATTTAATTCTATCTTTCTTGGTCTGTTAATTAATGTACGTTAATAACAATTTTTAAATAAACATAGTTTATTTGTAAAAGGGGAATATTTTAATCAACCAACAGGATTCCAAATAAAATAAAAATATAATAATTTAACAAAATTTAAAATTGACCTAACTCAATAACAAAATAGTACGTACCTTGAACTTAAGACGCCTGAGATAACGCAAGTCATAGTCGGAGCACAACAATAATAAATAAAGGTAAATATTCAATAAATGGGATGGATGTTTGTATCATTAATTTTATTCTTTAAAAATACATTTAAAAAATCAAAAACACAGATACAAATAGACCATATCACAATATACATTAGAATTTCAATTTTGCAGTGTGAACGACGAATCTACAGAGCGCATTCCATGTACCTGTTTCGCCTTGGAAATAACTAAATTCCAGATCTTTAGCATTACCTGAATGGAGTCTACGATATTAAATAAGTCTCACTAACTTAACCACGTCCTTTATCAAAAGATGTGGTTTGTACGGATAACTTTAAATATGAGCCACAATAGATTCGTCTGGGTCGCAATGGAAGGTGATCTGAACATCATACTTATATTTTAACCTAACAACTACAGAGCTAGGTTATTTCTGGAAATGTGCCATCAATTATAAACTCGATAGAAATGAACTAAGTAACATTTATACAATCTTTTAAATTAATCATCTTGCGTATGATATCCAGAACGATAAGAGTTCAATCTGTGTATGATTGTTCGTAGTAGTATTCTCCTGGTAAAGTATTAAACAATAGCGAAATATTGAGAAATTAGGAAAAGGTAGTTTTATTTAGTCTACAGACTGCGAACCAATATAATTTTCAATCAAAGTTGATAACTAACAATTATAAATAATTTCATATGGGTAGTGTAGCTAGTCCATACTTTTGTAATAGTCCGGGAAATAGTGTTACTATTCATCAAGTAATTTTATGTTCGTTGGATTTTCTTATAAGTAGTTCTTGTAATCGAACATTACACTCGCTAGTAGTGGTTGGTGCAGTCGTAAAAAGCTGCGGAACATGTCGAGAAAAGTTTTCCGGTAAGTTATTTTATGCACGATGAAAAATTGTTCAGGTTAATATTGACACTATTTCATAAAAAAAACTCTTCAGATGCTTGTCTGCGGGTGGAATGCGCGTCAGTCGCGCGTATTAACTTGTTGTAAAACTGGAAAAATTAAATAATTATGCAGTTTGAAATTGTTGGAAATGCCGTCATTTGGGCCTTCGAAATGAAACGCATTTTTAAAATGTTCTCTCATTGGTAATACAGTGGTTCTGCGATGTTTCTAATAACCTTCCATCAACTTCAGTTGCTATGTACTTTTTTGGCAAAGCTATGATTAGTTGATAGCATTTTGAATTATATTTTTATTTGGTACATAATTCTAATGGTAGCCTCACATAATTAATATACAATTAGTGCGTAATTTCAAGTTATATGGAATTGAAAAAGACACATTTTAAAAATAATTTTGGACATACAGGGTTTTGACAACCAATGCATATTTTTAAGTTGAAAAATCTATATTTTATTTTAGTTTTAGAATGCTCTGGTAATACTTGATGTCTCGCTTGATGTATTATTCAACTTTAAAATATTAAAAAATTATATATTAGAGGTTTACCAAGCATTTAATTTTTTTTGTACAATTAAAGAATGATGCAGATCTTAAATGAAATTATCATAATTTAGGTAGGTGAGCAATGATTTCAAAATTGTTTAAATTACAGACTAAAAAGGTACCAAGCTAACGAATAGTGATGATAGAACCGGTTCATTTTATACGGATTGTTTTTAAACGTCTCCTAACCTATCATTTATAATTTACTAAATTTTTTCAAATACAACACCTTGCATTTTATTTAAGCATTGGATTTTTGTGAATTTATCTAATCCAATCATACCAACATATTAGCCTATTATTTACGTAATTTTAAGTTAAGAAAAGAAGATATTAAAGAAGAATAAGAATAAAATGTAGCACAGTGGAGCAAGGCAAAAGGAAATGATAGAGATAAGCAACATGCATAAGCAAAGAATAAAAAAAAATACTAACAAACACTTAAATAATTATTAAAATTGTAGTTTGACAGATACCATAATGTCATGAATTCCTAAGCCGACCCTGTATACGCACGTAACCAATTCGTGGCCGAAGCAACGCTAACGTGTGGAAACAGGCGGACCGCTCTCTGATTCACTCGAAGCAGCCGGAATGTTCTGGGAATGCCGCTGAAGGCTCGAGAAACGGGTAGAGCGGGCGGAGTGCCGTTTACTCATCGTTGTAGAATCTTCGCGAGGCTCTGGCATTCTCCAGTAGCGGAGTTGGATTTATATAAATAGTCGACGATCAGCGCCGAGTTTAGTTTTATATAGAACGTTGTATTGAAAAGTAAAAGTGTAAGAAATAAATTAGAATTGTTAGTTAATGTTCAAATATTATATAAATTAAATAGTACGTCTGAAATAAATTGTAAATAGTGTGTTTTTAAATAAATAAACTTTAAATAAATTAGACTTTCGTCACAATAACTATGAAAAAAGATGACAATAATAAGAAAACAACAATTGTTTTGAAAAATATAGAAATTAATTATAATCTAGTATATAAGTCTTCAAATATAATGAAG